ATGTAGTAAACTCACATCCTTGATATTACGACTTTGAAGCTGTATTAAGCCACCTTAATAATTGTCTCAATTTTTAGATTAACGTTCCAATACTCCCCTTCGTCCAAAGTTTATGGATTTGAAACGGTCGATTTGATACCTCATGGCGAAGAAGTGGTAAGACGGTTTTTATGGTTTGTTGTGTTGTGTTGTGTTGTGTTGTATGTGTTATGTTGTGTTGTGTTGTATGTGTTGTGTTGTGTTTTTGTTGTTGTTTTGTTTTATATGTGTTGTGTTGTATGTGTTTTGTTGTGCTGTGTTATGTTGTATGTGTTGTGTTGTATGTGTTTTGTTGTGCTGTGTTATGTTGTATGTGCTGTGTTGTATGTGTTACGTTGTGTTGTGTTGTATGTGGTGTGTTGTATGTGTAATTTAGTTTTGTTCTTTCATAACTGTTTACAAGTAGTTGCTCTAACTATCTACTTTGAACGTCATTTCACTTCTAATCTTTCTTCTCATTAGCTGCTAACCCTCGATAATGCTGAGACRTACATCGACCTGATGACAGACTTYTATCTGTACTCGGGAATCAGAAAACAAATGGATGCATTTTTGAAAGGATTCAACAAAGTCTTCCCTATGGAAAAACTTCAAATCTTCTCGCCRGAAGAACTACAGCTGTTGATGAGTGGCGAGCGTGTACCAGAGTGGACAAGAGACGACATCTTAAGTTACACAGAGCCAAAATATGGGTTCACTCGAGAAAGTCCCGGTTACATTAGATTTGTGAATGTTTTGGAGAACATGGAGGGAGACGAGAAGAAAGTGAGTTATAGTTTCAATTGAAACGTAGAGTTAATATTTTTTAATCAACGTGATTGCGTCAAGGTAAAACGTCAATTGTTTTCTGTGACTGATTGATTGATTGATTGAGTGAGTGAGTGAGTGAATGAGTGAGTGGTTGATTGATTGATTGATTGATTGATTGATTGATTGACATGACTGGTTGATTGACATGATTGATTGACATGATTGATTGATATTATCGATTGTTCTTTATCCTTTTATAGGCATTCCTTCAATTTACGACCGGCTGCTCATCCCTCCCCCCAGGTGGTCTTGCTAACCTGCATCCAAGACTAACTGTAGTCAAGAAGGAAGGGGAGGGTGATGGCTCTTATCCGTCGGTCAACACTTGTGTTCACTACCTTAAGCTTCCTGACTACTCATCGGAAGAAATACTGCGAGAAAGGCTCCTWACAGCTACCAAAGAGAAGGGGTTCTTCTTGAATTAGGAACGTCATATTACGAGACTTATTKGAAATTCTATGCATTTTTCCTTTGGTTTCCTGTTTTGTTAAAATGCACACTGTGAAGTWAACRCACTTCCGTTATRGACCTCAAAAGCTSACACYAGTCTGWAAAAAGAGAAAACTAAGCTTGAAAAAATAAATTTCGCGAAAAACTTATAAGTGAAATTGCTAATATAAACACATTGTATATTTGAAGAATGTATGTTATTCCTAGTTTGTTCTTAATAGATAGAATCGATTCAATTTTTGTATTGATCTTTTTTCATCGATATGTATTCCAAAAGTATGGCTCTTAAAATTGCTTGTCRTCATATAACTCACCACTTGTAGTTCACCGACATTTGGTTGAACTGCTGTGACCCTTAAAGCCATTAAAATAAATTTGCGAATTCAATGTCTTCACTTTTATTGCACCAAGACAACTCACTCACTTTTTCTTTCGTTTCGTCCCTTCTTTTTCCTTTATACTAAAAAGCACCTACTGATTAAGAGAAATCTGGATTTCCCGCCTCCCCATCCATTCAAA